GACGGCGGCGGTGCGGCGCGGCGGCGCGGGTGCGGGCGCGGGCGGGGTGTCGGGGGCGGCGCGGCCGCCGCGCTCGCGGAAGACGGCGCCGGACCTGGGGGGTGAAGGTTCTGTCAGCGCTGACGTGGCGCAGCTGCAGGTGGGCAAGCAGGGCGGCCTGTTGTGCTTGGTGCCCTGAGGTGTGTCTCGGAAGGGCAAGGGCAGCAGGCGCGGCGGGTTCCTGCCGCGTGGCCTTGCCCGGTTGCCGCCCCCATGAGCCACCCCACAGCAGCAAAAGTTGCGGCACACCACATTCGTTGCTTCAGAAAGCAACCTTGCACGTGCAGACACTCACACACACATACACACACACCCATACACACACACACACCACATGCGCGCGCGCATCCCAGGACGAGCTCCTCACTGCGGCCGCCATCGAGTTCTGCGTGCACCTGGCGCAGCGCCCCGTCATCGCAGGCCGCAAGCCGGCGCGCTCGGTGCACGCGCCGGCGCGCCGCATCGCGCGCACGCTCGTTTGCCTCGGACGCCAGGTGTGCACAACCCCCCTCCCCACCGTTGACCCACGCCCCCAGCCTGCAACCTGTATAATCACAGCGGCAACGCCTGCCAGAATCAGCCGTTCGGTCGCCCTGCTGTCCCCTCACTTCTGCATCCTCCCTGCATGACGTCACTGCGCGTCACGCTTTCGGCTGCGGTCGGGCATACGCCCTTCGAAAGGGAAAACCCCTTGCGAACGGGCAACCCCTCGGAAACCCCTCATGGGCGTTGGCGACTGCTGAAACCCCAACCACCAGAGGAGCATGCGTTGCCTCTACGCCCCTCAAACCAACGCCGCGTCCGCTCAACTCCCGTTCCCTTCTGGTGCCCCCAGGACGGCGTGCCCTTTGGCCACTCCGTGCTGCGCCACATCCAGTCGGCGGCGGTTGCCAACCGCTCAGACGTGCAGCAGCTGGCGTTCTGGTGGACCAACGCCTGCCACATGCGCGGGTTCCTGCAGTCGCTCAACCTTGTCATGCCACACCAGCAGGCGCGCACGCGCGCGTGTGTGTTTGTGTGTAAGACAGAGAGAGAGTGCATGTACATGCGTATACATGTGGATTCGTGTGTGTGTGTGTGTGTAAGTGTGTGCGCGCGTGCGTGCAAGTGTGTGCATGCATCTGTTTGGGTGTGTTGATCTGGTTGCGTGTGCTACATGCACGTGGGTCCAACTGTACGCACACGCTGATGCGCTCACAGCGCAGCCCTCCGGCCGGAGACCTTTCCGCCCAACGGCCGTCTGGGCGCCGCAACCACGGCGGCGCCACAGCAACCTCACGCCCCCCCCTTATACCCGCGCTTGCGCCCCGCCCCCCATTCCGCCCCATCAGGGCCCCGAGCAGGTCCAGATGCACTGGGCTGCGCAGGTGTGTCCCCCCACAAAATCCCTGCCCCCTCCTCCGCGCCGCGCCCTGCGCCTACTCACGCAGCCCGTCCCTAGCACCCGCACGCGCCGGCCACCTTCCACTGCAGCGCCCGTGCCTCCCTTCCCCTCCCCGTCCCGCTGTCTCACTTCCCTGTTCGCGCCCGCCGCCCCGCCCGCCTCCCCAACTTCTCCAGACGTTTGTGCCGCGGCTGCTGGGCCAGGAGAAGTTCATCTTTGATGAGCTCGTGTCGTACGTCTGGACCCACACCCTCGTGCCCAAGGCGAGCGCCGCGCCCGCGCCAACGCCCGCGCCCGCGCCCGCGCAGCACTGCTGGACCGCCCCAGCACAGCAGCGCCGCAGACCCCTCCGGGAAAACCCCCAGGCCTCCCTCCGCCCCCTCCGCCTTGCCTCGCACGCGCCGCGCTGTCTTGCAAATTGCACGCGCCGCACGGGAGGTCCGGGCGCGCGCGCGCACACTTGAGTCGGTGGACGCACCGTGCATCGGCGCTTTGCGCAGCGGCCACCGCGTGCCAGGCAATCAATTATGCTAGGTCCCTCCGCGTTTATGCCGAGGGTCGCGCTTGCCCCGAACCAACGCCGCGCCGCGCCGCACGCCGCCCCCCGCCGCCGCCCCTCCTCGCACCCACGCAGGTGGCCATCGCGCGCGCGCGCGCGCCGGCGGGCCCGAGCGCCAACAAGCGCGGCGCCCACGAGGCTGCGCTGCGCAAGTGGCTTGAGGCGCTGGAGGCGGCCAACTCTCAGCTGCACGGGCTGGGGCGGGAGGGGCACGTGCACACGCTGCGGCAGCAGGTGGGCGGGCGCCTCTCATCTTTTGGCTTTTGGGGCAACGCGGCGGCGGGTTCGCCCCCTCGCGCTGAGTGTGCTTTGGGTGTGACGGGCGGCAGGGCCATCGGGGCCGAGGGGCGAGAGGGGCGAAAGGGGTCGCGTACTGCGCGCACCCCCGCCGCTGAGCGCCTGGCCACCCATGGCCGAGCAGCGAGGCAGTACAGCGGGCAGCCCTGAAAGCCACCCCCCGCTGGGCACACGACGCGCTCCAGCCTGCAGCTGCCCCACCCACGCCGCTGGCGCACCTCCCCCCCC